CGGCGTCGTCTAAGTCGCTTGATGTCGCCGGCAACACGGTCTGACCGGACACACCGCCGACGGACGACGAGACTCCGCTGCCGTGATGATGATGATGATAGTGATGATGATGGTGGTGATGGTGATGCCCGTGTCCGTGGTGAATGGCGGCACCTACCACCACTTCCTTCTCGTAACAGGCGGCGGCCATGTTGTTGGGTGCCTCCTCCTCCTCCTCCTCTTACTACTACTACTACTACTATCCGGGCTTCCGCCGGTATGCCGCCGTCCCTTTTCGCACGCCCGATGCCGATGATCCACGATGTTCGAACGCTAGACCCTCATATTGCGGGACTATCGCGATAATATTCGCCGACGACTTTGCTTCGCTGCTTTCTGTCGTCTCGGCTAACGTCGTTTTGTTGTCTGTCGTCTACACCTCGTCGTCGTCGTCGCCGCCGAAGCGTGGCCACGAGGAGGAGAAGATTAGTCGAGACGAGAATGTGAAATTCCGGTTGCCGACGAGCGCGAAACCTATATAAAAGTGTGGTCAGCGACAACCACAATACACCCTGACTCGACTCACGTACTCACGAGCGAGCCGGAGCAAAAGGATATAGTTCATTGCCGCGGTAGTCTTAGCCAAGGGTTGGACCAATAGGATAATATATCCAACACCAAGGAAAAGCCCTTTGAGAGAAGCTTACCGCACGTGTAAAAAGCGCATATTTATCGCATGTTTTTACTTTCGTTTCGAACAAAAGAACTTTCGCTACAGTATGCCAATTACATACGGGGGTTTCCTATTACAAATCCCCGGCGTCTAATGCTCGTTCGTTCGGGACGGTCGGTCTTCTCTCGTCACCGTACGCTGTCAGGACCACCCGTCCTGCCTTCCTTGCTCCCCTGCCCTTCTTCTTTCTCTTTCTCCTTTTCTTGTCTCTCTCTCTCTTTTCCTTTCTTGCTCGCTCTCTCTCTTTCTCTCTTTCTCTCCCTATCTTCCTCTCTTTCCGTTCGTCTCGCTGACTGATGTCTTCCTCGTTCCTCCTCCTCCGCGGTCCGTCTCTCACGCGTGTTTTACTTCACTGTCACGAGCACCTAGACGGTCCGGATCGTACAACCCGGTCGCTGCCGACGCCCGCCACCCCGCTCGCGAATCAGCCCCGCTTCTCGCGAGGCCCTCCGTGGCGCAGCACACCCGTGGGAACGTAATAACGCAACATCGGGGTGTCGTCGGGCCCAAGCCGACGTCCGACTGACTAGGCGTAGTATCGTTCGGTTCGCTCGTTCGGGGCCGATGTGTATGTGTGTATGCGTGGTGCGCGTGTGCGCCGCCGCCGTCGTTGTCGTTGTCGTCGCACAATGCGGCGTTTATATGCTGCACGTACGGCGCCCCGTTCGTTTTACTTCTACGAATCGTCTCGGTTTCTTTGTCCCCTCGGTTTTTCTTTCGCGCCCGTGCATGCACACCCTTCCGCATGTACGAAAATCGCGATGACACTCCCCGGTTGCGATTCGTCTTGCTCGTAAGGACGTGCGTGCGGGCACGTCCTTTTCGCGGTTTGGTGTGCGTGCGTCTCTCTGTGCGTCGTGCGGGGGGGCACGCGCGCGTGCGCGTGTACGTAAGTGTGTCCGTGTGTGTGCGGTGCGCGGCGCAAACGAGACCAACCACCGATTCGATTGTCGCGCACCGAGTGCCGACTTGCGACTGACATGAGAACAAAGTTTCCTGAGAAACCCCCGTTCAACGAGAACGGACTCCCCGAACTCCCACCAGTGATGAAAGTTTTGGCAGGCTAGCACCAAGGGTGGGAGCCACTGGGAATACGCACACAAGCGAGACCGCCGTCCGTGTGCATGACGTCACACACACGGACGGCGGTCTCGCCTGTGTGCGTATTCCCAGTGGCTCCCACCACCTTGGTGCTCTTGGTGCTAGCCTGCCAAAACTTTCATCACTGACTCCCACCCGGTTGGATACCTCGCCGGTGGGTACTTGAGCGCAATGGCCGCGGGGTGGACTTATTAAGCCGCGTTCACACGAGACCGGCCCCGAGCCCGTTTGCGAGTTCGGCTTGATTTTTGCGTTTTGTTTCGCACCGCGCTCGTTCGGCGGCGCTGCTGTCGCGAGACAGGCACGTGAACAAAAGCGTGAATCAAACGCCGCCGCTTTGGTGAGAGACCGTCGCGTGTGTAAGTATCGTATCGTATTACCGTTACGGTGAAATGATTGTTTAAATACGCGAGATCGATTTGACTGACGAGTTGACGAGCTTTCGTAAGATGCATTATTTAGATGTTTCGTTGTTAGTACATTTATCTTATTTCATACAACATTAATTCGAACTCTGGTTTAGTCATGTAGCGGGATAACATAACCTCTTTTATACATACATATGTATACATACATCGAGTTCGATAGCCGTCTGGTTATCTCACGTAAGAGTGATGCAACTTTGTGTAAAAAGAATTCTTCATTTTTGCTTTTCTCCTAAGTAAATTCTAATCACCGAGATGTAATAAATGGCTAGACAAATGTTTTGCAACGTGTAATATGTACTGAAAAATATTCAGTTTTTCAAATAATTATTTTGTGTTTATTTTTAATAAAAATTAAAAACTACAAATGTTTTGCAACGTGTAATATACTGAAAAATATTCAGTTTTTCAAATAATATTATTTTGTTTATTTTTAATAAAAATTAAAAACTACAAGCAAATGTGTGTATTTATGTACAGACTTATAAACAAAAATTATTATTACAAGAAATTTATACATGGTTTTACTCTTGTGTTTAGAGAAATTCCACACCAATCTGATTTCGAAGTGACACCGGTATACTTGAAGAAGAACATACTCGAAGCCGTTCGACATTTGTTTGGTGAGGAAGGAGCCAGCGGTCAAATAGATATTCTTAAATTTAATCCGAGAACGTGCAGATTCATTGCGCGCTGTTCCTCCGGTGACTGTGTTCGACTACGCGCCGCTCTGACTGTGGCCACGAAGTACGAAGGCAAAACCTGCGTGTACACGGTTCACCGAGCTACGTCGAATTTGTTGTCGCTCACAGCTGACAGTAGAACCCACAAACACGGAGAAAGTCCGACCGAGGTTTCGTCATGCCGTTGATTCGCAAAGAGGGCAAGGACACCATTATCTTCGCGTCCAAAGAGGATCACGCGGTACCTAGCAAAGTCAGTTTACCGGAATCAGAACCCAGTCCCGGTCTGTTGTTACCCAACGGCGAGATCAATTGGAACTGTCCGTGTCTGGGCGGCATGGCGACCGGTCCGTGTGGGATAGAATTCCGCGAGGCCTTTTCCTGCTTCCACTATTCGACCGCGGATCCAAAAGGCTCGGATTGCCGAAAGGCGTTCGAGGTGATGCACGAATGCATGTCGCAGTATCCGGCGTTGTACGAGAGCAAAGGTGGATCAACGGAAGATCTAGACGACGACGACGACGACGAGGACGACGAGGAGGAGAAGCAGAAGGCGAGCAGTCGGGACACGTTGCAAAAGACGAAGACGGAAGAAACAGTGAATATGTCGAGTTTGAAACAGGAAGTGGAACGAGCTAAGACTAACTGAACGTCGTGTGTCGTTTGCTCATATTCAAGTTTTCGTTTCACACTAGTTTTCAAGACGATACGTAACGGTATCTTGTTTTTTCTTTAACTCATCTTTTTTTGGAGATACCGAGTATCTCCAAATGCCTTTGCCACAATACGGTGTTGGTAAACAGTCACAGAGATGCGTTTCAAAGGTAAAAATAAGACTTAAGACGAGAGATCTCTGATAAAACAAAAAATAAGACGCAACAAAGAGTGATAGTAGGGATAAATAAATAAACACAACGCACTTTAGCTATTTTTTCCTCAGAGGCCCGTAAAGGGCCTTGAGTTCAAGAGGTAACGCGTGCGGAAAGATAGCGGATTTTTAGGACAGTAAGATATTGGATATACGCAACTGTGTAACTCCAAGTTGTTCAAACTTTAATGTTATTAAAAAACAAAAGCTTTTATTCCTTCTGTCTCTTGTTTTTTTTTTTTGTCTCGAAGATATGATCTGCTTGTTTCCCGTGCGTGTTCTCGCACCTCACGAGCCGTACCTCGCCGTAATTAAGAGGGTCCTGGACCGTCCTGTTATTACCGATCGAAATAATTCGTAGTAAGAGGTGTTTTTCGTAATTATTGCTCGGATAGAAAAACGGCTCTACAGAATTAAAGAAAATAATAAAATGTATTGCGGAGACTTTTCAATATATATCAAAAATGTAACAAAAATTTTTGATTTACAATTAACATCAAAATTTTTTGTCACATTTTTGATATATTGAAAAGTCTCCGAAATACATTTTATTATTTTCTTTAATTCTGTAGAGCCGTTTTTCTATCCGAGCAATAATTACGAAAAACACCTCTTAATACGAATTATTTCGATCGGTAATAACAGGACGGTCCAGGACCCTCTTAAATACAGAAAACGTACGGAAGTGTGATAAAAAAAAAAAAAAAAAAACAAACCCAATTAAGCCCCTTGCACAATGGAAGGAATAGCGATAGCGATAGAAATAACACAGTTTTTAACACAGAATTCCAACTCGTCGGAAATTTTATCGCTATTGCTTATTACGATTTTCTGATCCGCATTGATACATGTGTAGTTTTGTATGTTAGATTCCGCTGTTCCTACCTTTATTTTTAAATATAAACTTTTTAAAACTTTTGTTGTTTCTATCGCTATCGCTATTCCGCCCATTGTGCAAGAGGCTTAACACAATTTCAACTCGTCGGAAATTTTATCGCTATTGCTTATCCCAATTTTCTGATCCGCATTGATACATGTGTAGTTTTGTATGTTAGATTCCGCTGTTCCTACCTTTATTTTTAAATACAAACTCTTTAAAACTTTTGTTATTTCTTAATCGCTATCGCTATTCCGTCCATTGTGCAAGGGGCTTTACTTTTTCCTTCGTTTGAAAGTTTCGCGCGTTCCTCGATATTCGTCCGATAGTTGTTCCGAGCGTCGCCAGATGGCGAAGTTGCGTGACGTCAAAATCGTCGTCTCTCTCTCCCATACCTCCGTTCTCCATTCCGTTCACGGACCCGTGTGTAGCTAGTTTGATACCAGTGTTACGCATCATCAGTAATATAAGTGCATAAAGTGTTTTCCTCGCTACCGTTCGTCGGCAGAATCAGCGGCAGTGGGGGTCAAATCGCTCCGTGTTTTTTTCTTCGTCGTTGTTCGAAATTTGGACGCGACGACCGACACACGCGAATCACACACCCGCTGTCATATGTGCGACTTGCGCGCTCATCAGAATGCGGCGCTTCTCGTCTTTCGTCGGTCTAGCGCGAGTAACGCGTTGAACGCGGTGATACGCGTCGCGGCGCATCGATCTCGATACCGACGCCGAGACAAACAGACGGGCGGAGAGAGACAGACAGACGATCGGAACGCGGCGCGCGGGGCGAGCGAAGTGTCGAGCGATTGTGTGTGTGTGTGCGAGAACGAAGTTTGCGTCGAATCGGACGCAGGGTAGGTAGGTAGAGGTAAAGGGAATCGCGAGGCTCTTTTTTTTTGTTTTTTTCAGTTTGCGCGAAAAAATACGCACACGCGCGCGCACGCCCGGATACGTTCCTTGGCAGTGACTGAGAGTGTCCCGGTTTCGTGCGCTGGTGTTTTCGTCGAGTGCGCGTTTTGTCCCATCTGTAATCGTCGTCGCGTTGATATCTCATCATGGACACCCATAGGAAAGAGAAGAAGCACAAAGAGAAAAGGAGGTGAGTTGCGCGCGCGCGCGCGCGCAAGAGATAGAAAGAGAGAGAGAGAGAGTGAGAGCTTTTGTTTTTTGTTTGAATTTGATGTAATTTAACATTCTTATGTTGTAATCGCGTTTCTTCTCGATCGCGATGGTTATGTTTGACGGGGATCGTCGACACTCGTAATGTGAAATCGAACATATATGTGCGTGTGTGTGTGTGCGCGAGCGACACGGAGCAAGAGAGAGACGAAGACGGAAAAAGAGAGAATGACAGATAAGGGGAGAGAGAGAAAGAGCAACGGGTGTGTTAAAAG